GCGGCGGGGCTCATTAGGCTGTTCGGTTTTTGGTGACGCCTCAGCCTGATGCAGCAACTTTACAGAGCAGCCGTGCACAGAAAAAAACAGATGCCGACAAATGATTTAGCGGGGTTAAAATTTTGGGAAATGAATGAGAGTGTATGGGTGTGCATGTCATGCGCGGTACGCAGATAAGGATAGAGAGGAGAGGCTCCGGGGACAGATAGGGAGAGTCCCAGCTGCACTCATGTCTTAGATCTTGTCGGATGTGCGTAGTCAGACAGTCTGAGGAGGGGTGGGAGGGGGACGTGGTGTAGATATCATGTGCAGAGAGAGAGAGACAGCCCTGCATCCCATGAGGAATCCGCTTTTCTCTCCGCCGTGCTAATTTTTCCAGGGGCCTGTGAGACAGGAACTCGGGATCAATGGCATGAATTATTATCAAAAACCCACAGAGAGGTTAACAAAAAAAAGATCTCAGCTTCTGGCGAGCGCGAGGACGGACATGCACAGGTGCTGCAATAGAGAGAGGCAAGAGAGAGAGAAGGGGGGGGGTGTGACAGGAAGAGAGAACCAGGCTAAGAGAGGAGGAGGAGGAAGATGAGGGGAGGGGAGGGGAGGAGGGGGGGGGGGGTAGGAGGAGAATTGACTCGCTGGAAAAGGGAAAAAGGAGTCGGAGAGCAATTCCGAAACAGCTGTCCGGCAGACATCCCAGTCGACAGGAGTGCAGCCCCTGCGGCAGGGATAGAAGGCAGGACAGTGTCAACAAGCCACAGGAGCAGCTGCTGAGCACACAAACGCACACACACACACACGCACAGACACACACTTCATCCTGGGGCTTTACTGCTAAGAAGAACACCAGCCCTGCGCAGGAAGAACCAAGAGCTCCCCATCAGCACATCCGAGGTGAGGCAAAAAAGATGCTTTATTTTCATGCTGCGATGGGCATGATGGGGCTTGGGGGGGGGGGGTTTCTCTTCCTCACATTTGTGGGGAGATTTCATTTCGTCAGAGTGAGTGATTGAAAGACTGGGATGTCACAGGGAGACAGGGAGGCCTGGGAGCGCACACGGTAAGTTCCGCTCGTGCCAAAAAATGTTTGCCCGGCTCTCATACGCGTAACATGAGGAATTAGCAACGTGATATCCCTAGCCGCTTTCCAGGTTTTAAGTCCGACTACATGGTCCAGGCTTGGTTCCTTTGCCCTTTATCTCCAGGTGGGGAGGGGGCAGATTTTAAGGAGGATTATACGGTTGCACCAGAGGAAAGATCTTTCCTTCTGCCCGTGTATGTTGACATTCTCTTCATGTTTCATACACTTTGATTCAGTTTCCTGCTGGTATCTGCCAAGGATAACTCTGGCAAGTGCTTGCGGGTGGCACAGGGGGAGGAAGGAGAAAGAAACTCCACCCTGCTATTCACTCTAGTCCCAGCACCACCACCACCATGCCCCTTGAAAGTAAGATCTTTGCCTATAATTGAGGTCTTTTTTATGCAGCAACCAGTATTCTTGTAAGGCTGCTATTAGCCTTGGTGGTATGTGCTTTTTATAACAGCCTCAAAAGGGGGTCTTCCTGCTGTGCAGAGGCGTGACAGAAGTCAGGGCCACCAGGAGTATTTGGTGACATTAAACTTCCATGACGTTGCATCGTAGAAGGAATGAAAATGAGTGGGAGTTTGTACAGCTTCAATGATTACAACAGCAACAGAAAAGTTCGTTTTTTCTTTCTATATGTTTTAAATAACGCTAATGTGAAATGTCAGCCCAGGCATCCCATTGTGGGAGGGATATTCTGGGGGATGCGTGGTTTCTATTTTAAAGAATGGGGAAGTCATGCCCCGGTCATGTTCTGGACAGCTGCAGTCCTGACTTGGAAGCATATGGGACGACAGCAAACTGTAAAGCATCATCGAACTGTAGTATTTATTTAGCCTACAGTAAGATTACACTGCCTCTCAGAATATACCAACCTCGTCATGTCACATGAGACTTTTGGGTGTCCAGGAATACCCAGACGAATCACGAGCCATTAGTTAAATTACCAGATAGCAACCTTATATTTATCTGCCCCCACTCTCAAACTTTCATCACCTCACTCCCCCGGTGCTCGTATCTAGCCACCCCATCACCGAGTGTTGAAGCAAAGCTTCACTTCTGAAGCTGCTGGAGGGACTCCAGATCGCTCCATGCCCAGTCAGATAGCTGCTGCTGACCCAATGACACAGTGGTTTCACCCCGCAGCTGAATCTGCAAGCAAATGTTAGAGGAAGCTGCCATTAGATCCTCACTTCCCAAGAGGCGTAAATGAAACCCCTCCGACTGCATTCTGCGGTGGCGGCGCCAACAGGACCGTACTTCTCAGAGCGTGCCAGGCGGCCTCTTTTTGGAATAGTTCCAAAAACAGGGTGCAAAATTTGGCCCTGGCCTGTGAGATACACTAGAATGCACCTGTTCAGCCACAAACAAGCTCCTGGGATAATAATGGATTCTCTGGCTCAGCAAGTCACAAGGCTCCATCCTGGTTAAACCCGAACTTGTTTCTATTGATTAATTTCCTCTTGAGCCAAAACAAGCTTTGCTTATATTGCTGAGGCTTGGGAGATTTGCTTAAATCAATCATGTTCCCCTCGTTCACCACTCGATTACTCATTAGATCAAGCTTCAAGCGGCAAGGGAAGATAACCAACACATTAAAGACCGACATGCAATAATTCCCCATCTTTATTGGTGGCCTTTGGAATTCCATGCATGTTTGCTATTTAGACACAGCTGACCCACCAGCAGGACGCTATGGCCACAGCTTCAAGCCTTCACCTTATCAGCTGACTTCTCATGGGTAGAACCCATAGAATAGGGTTTGATCAATATTCCTGTTCATAACTATTGATCTATGGTGTTCTAAACCAAGCCTGTATGGGTGGATGTGGCCACTGGAGAGTAATGGTACCACACAGACCAGGCAGTTCTTATATGTATGTAGGCTTCATCAGAAGTGTTTGATCCGGCAGTGCAGCACAGATCACTGTGACTAATGTACGAAAGGTAATACCGATATGGATACGCTGCGCTCTCAGAGTCCACAGGACACAAGCTTTTGCTTTGCTGGCGCAATCGTTTCATTTCCTATCCGGCCCCAAGTTCCCACTGCAGTGAGCATCAGCTGCCAAGGTCAGACCAAGGAGTGTCGGCCTAAAGGAGCCATGCTGAAAAGAGAGAAAATACGAACAGAGAGACGAGAAATGCAACTGAACAGAGTAGATTCTTGCATAGCCCCCTTCCGTTCATCCAGGACAGCAGCGTTCCTCTTCAGGCCTTGCCCCTTCCCCTTCTTTCTCTCACTATTAACAAACAAACACATTCTCCCTCTCACGCATGGCGTACCTTCCAATCTGCTATCTCAGGCACCTCCCGATCACACCAGCTCTCAAATAGCGTCGCCATTCAACGCACTTACGCCTATTCCGCATCTCTCAGCGTGTCAAAGCTATATATAGTGGTGTAACACACACTGGGTGACAGGTTTATTTGTGCTGTAATGGCCCCAGTTCGTTCGGCAATGAATCATATGACACATTTGAAAAAAAAAGTTTAACGAAGTTGAAGTTTGCATCAGATCTATGCGTGTGCAATACCTGGGAGAGCCAACAAGCTGGACTGAAAGTAGGTAGTTTCCAAGCTGCTGCTGGGAGTCAAATACCAAGCAGGCTCCACATTTATGTGCCTCCTGAATAAACATAGCCTTCTTAAAGTGTCTCTGATAAGTCCGGTCCAGAGTGTCTGCACTGGTCGGTTGCAGCAGGAATGTGGATGTTTTCTAAGTGAGACCTTTTTAATGTAGGAGTAAGGGGGGGGGGGGGTTGACCGCCCAGGCACTCTGTCAGACGGTCACCGCTGACAGAGCTCTCATAAGTAAATATGTCTATAAATGGGCAAGCTCTCTTCTCACTGGTGATCATCCAAACCTTCCCCCATCTCTAACACACACCGACCGAATCATCTCCCCTCCGCCATTGAGTGTTTTCCCTTTTCCCCTGGTTGCTTTGTCATTTCACCGGTCGGACTGCTTCCCTCCCGCTTCAGCCAAACTGTTGACTCTGTGATGTTCTTGGGAGGGTTTGTAATGGAAAAGCCTCAGTGAAGGCAGCATGCCATCAGGCACCTTTTATCAAATCCAAACTCTATTTGGGGTGACCGTGCATACTTCAAAGCTACGCCAATTCACAATCTGCACCACCATCTTTCTTCAAATCCACTTGCTCCATAATCCCTCCCGCTTATCACTCTCTTCAATCCCCCCTAAACTCTGTAAACCTCAACCTCCTCTCTTCCCCCTCGCCCCGCTCCATCTCTATCCTGTGCGTGTCTGAGCAGTAGCTTACTCTGAAAACAGGCTGGCCTGCTCTGATCCATCTAAAGTCCCCCTTTGCTTCTCCTCTCCCGCTCTGCAGTCCAGCTGTTCCACATTAGCACATCCAGAGGTTGTGGAGGCCAAAGGAGCCTCATGTGTGGAAATGTGAACAGAGCAGAAAAAAGCCTTCGACCCAGACCTCATCCCCCTCTGCTTTCATTTTTAAGAGTGCCAGATGAGGATGAGGATGTTATTTTTTTTCTCTTGTAGGATTCAAAGTTTATGTATGGGACATGTGTGGTGGCCAGATTGTCTTTTTTTGTGATGGCGGTTTTGCATCAGCAGCAGTTCTATTCAAAGACGTCAGGAAATTGGTGTCTCGTGTTTCGGAAAAAAAAAAACGCTAATGTGTTCTGCATTTGTCTCTGATTCCAGAAAAGTCACCGTTTGACCTTTTCTACATTGCTGAACATCACCAGAACCGCTTGGAGAGGCATTTCCGGATTGATGCTACAATTATTTATGGAGTCCTGGAAGAGAGGAGCCTTTCTGGGCATGTAACTCAATCCCCCCCACCCCCACTGGAGAATCGCAGCATCCAGACCTTACGAAGCATTTTGGACTCTTCTATCCTGCATATCTGAGATAGAATCCACAGAAACAGCCATGCCAGCGAAAGCGCCCATATACCTGAAACCTACCAACAGCAAGAAGGGGAAAAAATGTCGCCTGAGAGATATCTTATCACCTGACATGATCAGTCCCCCACTCGGGGACTTTCGTCACACCATCCACATTGGCAGAGGTGGGGAGCGAGACGCCTTCGGAGACATGTCCTTCCTTCAAGGGAAGTACGAGCTTTTGCCGGGAAAGGCAAATATCCACCCTCAGTACGGCATCCAGAGCGAGCTCCTGCGAGCAAACAGCACAGGCGATGCCTCCTTTGCCGAGACCCCCTCTCCGGTCCTCAAGAATGCAATCTCACTGCCAACCATAGGTGGCTGCCAGGCCCTCACCCTTCCATTGCTTTCCTCCACCGTCTTCTCCATGCCACCAGAGCCGCTGGACGACATCATGGGGTCCGCATCTCCTGTGAAGGCAGACAGCGCAGAGGAGGTGGAGATCCTGCAGATGGACGCCCTGCTACGCTCCATGGATGTCTTCAGCAGCGAGCCCTCGTCCCCCTTCACAGACATCCCATCAAAGCCCGATGTCCTTTTAGACCTGCTGGAGAAGAGGGATAAACCCACTTCCAAATCAGTCAGCAAGGCCAACAAGCTGAACAAGCCCACCTCCTATTACATCAGCGGTAACACCGACAGCATCTATACGGCAAACGGAAGCCTGGACAGCACCACAAGCAGCGACAGCTTCGACAGCTACACCGGCAAAGGGGGCTTCCAGAGGGAGATCTGCAACGGCACCGGGAGTCTCAATGGAAATGGCAACTGCAACGGCTATGGACACCTTAACAATGACATTGCCCTGGGTTTTAAGCAGCAGATCTCCAAGCGCAATGGAGAGTGGGTGGACAGGGACAGTGGGGTGGAGGAGGGACGCATGTGTGATCTTGAGTTTGAGCTCTCCAACGAGAAGAGCACGTCACAGGACTCCCTCACCCAGATCACAGGGTCATTCCTCTCCCTCGAACTTGATCTGGGCCCGTCCATCCTGGACGATGTGCTGAACATCATGGACAAACCCACAGCAAAGAGCCGGCCTTAAGCTGTGCTAAGGCCCCCACGATGAGAAAAGGAATTATTAAGATATTGCCAGGAGGCCAGGAGGAGAGGATAAAGACTCGAAAAGTAATCAAAATGGTGTCTGGATATATCATTGAGATGAAAATCAGCTACAACGGACAAAAGCTGCTTATGTTTTTATTGTCAAAACTTATAACTGTTCTAGCTTCTATGGAGTGTTTTTCTTCTTTCCTTTGTTTGCCAAGCCAGCAGCATGTTTGAGATGCATGTGCTTTTTGAGTTACAGCTATAACACAGCCATCGTGCCTTTGATTTTCAGTTACTGTAAAATGCTATAAGATAGTTTGGTGTTCTAATGCTGACCTGCACCATATAAACACAGCAAAACTTAGGTCCTTTGCCATTTTTTTAAAATCTCAAACTCTGTGAACACAATGTATTTTGTGAAGTGTGTTTAACAAAGCACTTTTTCTTTGTTTATCACTTGGTTCTTCAGCCAAATGAACATTTGAAACAGCAGAACACAATGCATATTTGTGTATTTAAAGTTGGGACACAAATAAATTAGTTTTTTTTTCTATTCTGCCTGTCTTTCTTGTAGGGAATACGTTTATATATCTTGGCTGAAACATGTATACCGTGGTGATTATCACTGTAGAGAGGCTTAAAACAGTATCAGGCACAAACATTAATGATAGACGGAACAGAAAGGAGCCACAGATTGACAGAGAGAAGTAGAGAACGTATTTATTCTCTCGCCCCTGACATTCCATACATTCTGCCTGACTGCCCTGCTGTGGGAGCATCGGTGGGCCTTCATCTGCCCGGTCAGGCGCCTGCACCATTTGTTTGCATGTGCATGGGACAGGCAGAGGAGGGGTCTTTGGAATTCCTTGCATTCCAGCCACAGAGCACAAGTGTCCAGGACCGGACATAAATCAGCTGTTTCAAGTGAGGAGGAAGGGCTTTGGTCGAGAGCCACACTATTCATCAGCTCCAGTGTGCAACAAAACAGGCCATAAAACAAACGCTTAGAAGTTTTCTGTAAACTTTGTTCACTGCGGAACAATATACGGGCCCTGCCCTTCTGTCTAGTTACAATAAATATATGTTGACCCTACCATGTAAAGGCAGCAGCCTTTCTGTGCTTAGTGCCTGCGCTGTGCGTCTCCCGGCTCCCGTTTCACCGTAGACACCAGGGGGAGAGTCAGAACAAGAAGCATGCGTGTATGTGGGAGCCTTACCCCATCACCCACATACCACTTTCACGCTTGTTTGGAGAAAACAACAAACATCTCAGCTTTGCTTCGGCAAGCTAATTCCACCCGAAAATAATTAGCCGGCCCCAATTGCCCATCACACAGAGTGCCAGGCAAATGCGGTAAACCTCTCTGAGTCCCTCAAATGCCTCCGAATGTCCGTAAACAACCGCAGCGCGTCCGGGCGAGGCATTTGAAGGCGCTGCGAAACCAGATGTTAGAGCAGACGGGATCATTTCCCCCACGCGAGTAAAAACCCATGTCATGGCAGGTACCCCGACCAGTGGAAAATCCCAGCGTAAGGGCTGGAGAGTTTTCAGCCGCTGAACATCAGTAATGAAAACCCTCTCTGTCAAGGTAATTACTAGCTTATACCTGCAATGGTCCATCACCGACTTGATGACAGGCCTCATCTCTGACAGGCGCGGACCCCAGAGCGAATTCCCCTCGGCTTACAAAAGAACTTTGCAACCACAGCGCCATGGCATGTTGTGTAACATATTAGAAGTCTTTCTGTAGGCACGCCAAAGCTCCCTGTCACACAAAATGTCAGGAAATACCAGTGTTTTATGAAATCCAAAACAAATACTTGACATGTGTTAGACACTGAGCGCTTTTCATTACTGTGGGCTCGGGCCTGCGAGTGAAATACACAAGGAAGAAACATTCTTTTGTTTGAGCAATCAAAAGGTATTTGGAATTTAAAGTTGTGTTCATTTGCCGTGAGTGAGATGGATGCTGCTCTTTTTTTTCAAAGCTGTGATAACAGATCACCTCATCTGAATGTGAATTGCACTGCTCCAACAGTGCTTTCGAATCTAGTTTCTTCTCCCCGGCTTTAGCGTAACCCGTGGGCCTGAGGGAGATGAGAAAACACCAAAAATGGAAGGCAGAAATAGGTCTATTCAACTGTTTCTCATTAGCCCAAGGCCAAAGCAGAAGTTTGACCTGGAGAAACCTTGGCTGCGACTGATCCTGATAGTCCATGTTCACCACCACGGAGAGGAGGGTTGAAACCAAGCCGCACATTGTGTGACACCCACAGCTTCAGAACAACAGTCTGTTTGTTATTGCTAGCAAGCTGCAGATTGAACAGCTGAGCTATGCAGCGCCCTTTTTCTCTTGGGATAAATCAACTATAATTGTGATATTGTTTTTTAAACCTTTAAAAAGAACTGCCGATGAGATAAGGCCAGTGACAAAATATATAACAAATAGCGAAATTCCACCTTTTTTCAATCTGCAATTCACGATGGAAAAGTCAGTATGTCAGTAGGAAAATGTTCCTGATTTAAGTAACTAATAGATTTACAAGAGGAAAAACATAATCTTATCTAATCTTATGTTGAAAAATATTTCCAATCCTGCCCCAAATCCATCTCTTGACAGACATAAACCATTGCAATTTCCCTTTAAAATTGTACAATTACTACGCTATTGTGACACCTTCACACAGAAGCCCAGTTGAGCCTCTTGGCACGTCACATCCTATTTCTCCCAACAATAAATGTCCATGTTCCACGTGCTGCATGGAGAACTTGGCTCCAAATGCTTTTGGATAAGGTTGAGCCTTAGTGACAATTTGAACACCGACATGGATTAGATTTGATTTGAAAATTCTCATTCAGTGTCTTCAGACTTGATTGAACCTTGATTCCACTTCCCTTCCCTTGAAAATGCCTTGCTTTTGCTAGATGTCATCCAAATACTGTATGGTTATGGATGGAGTTAGTGGACATGGTTAGGTTGAATTCATACCTTAGCTTCAGTTTACGCACATTAATATTCAAACCATATTTTCTGCCAAGACTGGGCTGTTTCTTTTCTAGCGCATCCATCCAGGTCTGTTCCCCGTGCTTTCCTGAGTTGAGGTGAAAAAGCTTTGGCACAGAAGCCCCCGGAGCCAAAACACACACGGCTCAGGCCCGGGAGAATTTTCCTCCCGGTTTTCAGGACCAGGCTGCATAATACGCAGACTTTCTTCCACAGAGCCTGTGAAGGAGCCTCTTATAACCTGCTTTGACAGCGTCAGCCAGACGAGAGGGGGCAACATTTTAAGAAGAGGCTTCCCCGCTCACTGATGGGAACATGAGCAAAAGGATAAAAGCTCCTCCTGTCCACACCTGCGGTAAACATCCCACACGGCTCCATATTAGCCTAAACACAGATATTTTCCATCCAGCAAGCAGTGTGGGCAAGAGAGAAAATATGGGGCAGCGTCTGTCAGAAATGTATCAATAAATATTCATTTTTCTCGCTCAAGAGCTATCATTCATTGTTGACATATACCGTGAATGTTCCAACTTTGACATGAGGGTATTGGTAGTGGAAGCTTCTTGGGAACATTTACTTTGGGATGGTGAGCGTGGAGCTTGGATTTGTGCGCCGGGCAGATCTGCTGATTTAGCAGTGCAGAGCCAGGTCTCCTTTTCAAAAGACAACAAGAGGAGAGGGCAGGGGGGAGCTTTCTCGGGCCTGAATAGAAAGGAGCCGGAGCAGGGACTGATGCAGAGCAGATATGAGTGAGCTCACATGTAGTTTGGTCTGGCAGTCAGGGGATACCTTGAGTTTACTGCACTGTTGACTGCTGTTTGGCTTACAGTAACCATAGAGAGCGGAGTTTTTATCTGCGGCACGTGAGGGCTGCGCTAAAAGGAGGCAGGGGAGAGGATGAGAGTCAAACAGTCCAAGTGTCACCTATAAGAGACAGCAGCATTCCTCTCTGACACAGCCCAGGCTCTTTTAATCAGGGAACGGAGCTATGTGGACCAAAACTCAAACTGCTGCGTGACTTTCCTTTTTTTTTTCTTTCTGGTGTCTGTTGAGTTGTCCTAAAAAAGTGTTGGCATGTTTTGTTGAATAATGATGCGTCATTAGATAACGGCTTGGACAATTCTACATATGAGGCCGTCGGGTCTCAGCTCTGTCAGACTGAGTTTTCCAACGTAAATACCAGATCAGCTTGACCTCATTCCACACAAAAAAAGGTCCAGTTCTGGTGCGATTTAATGAGAAACTGCCTGGAATTCTGAACCCATCAATCCCATAAGATCCAGAGCATTGTTTCTTTATTTTATAGATCAAACGCAGTTCCAAGCTAACTCTGTTTCCAGAGAGTGTGTTGCATTAGGTTGCATTAGGTTCATTAAGGTTTCAACATTTGTTTTTTATTTTATTTCATTTTGTACCTCACTCAGCAATCCGTCGTTTTGTTATGTGGAAGTTAAAATTAAGTGTTCTAAAGAGAAAAAAAAGGAATGAAGTCCTTTCATTTCTCTCTTTAATGAAATGGATGTCCCAGTTTCAAAGATGGTTCTGTCGTTTTTCAAACTGGACATATGCAGTAGCATTAGGGATATTTCATATTCAAACCACAGGCGGGAATTGTTTAGCCAACTTAAACAGTCATTCCTTAGTTCATAAATCATGCAAATCTGTTCCGGAAAACCAGATTTTTTTCGTTTAAGCTGAAATTTGGAAGCGCTGCATACGGTGCGAAGTCAACCTGCAAGTCTGAATCATTTCAGTTGTGTTCATTTAGTGCCAAATCGCAACAAAAACCATGTAGACAACTGCAATAAACAGTCCGATCCAAGCTAATTACGCTCAAAGTCACTCAACTCAAGCATAATCCAATGAACTCTAATGCATTCATTCCCAAATTAGTCCAATTCATATTTTGCCAATTCAAATAAGATTTCTTAGCTGAGGAAATCAACAAGCTCGCGTAGGAAGGTAAAATGGCCTTTTAACAGTTAAAAAA